ACGCTGTCCTGGGTGGGGCCAGCTCCTGCTTCTCCCGCTGCCACCTGCACAGGAGCGCCCAGCTCGAGGGTCACGCCCTGCCGCGGCGGACTCCGGGCTCAGTGGGACAGCAGTGCGGGGCTGCTGGCCTGCCCTGAGCACTGCGTGGGCTGGGCATGTTCACTAGCTGGTTAGCAGGCTGGAAACAGCTCGGGCGGGGGCTGGCTACTCATTAACACGCAAGTACTTGGGCCTGCGGAGAAGATCAGAGAACTTGGCTGGGACACCCACAGCTGCGGTGCTGGCATCTGTCACATGGAGCAGCTGGCTTGAAAGACTTGCTGCTCCTTCCAAACAGGTTTGTGCTGCTGGGTGGTTTAAATGTCCCTGTCTAGCAGCTGAACATCCACACCCAGGATCCTCTCCAGCCCATTCCCCTCCCCACCCAGAGAATGACGTGGAAGCTGCAGCCGCTTCAGAGGCTCCTGGACCCGGCTGCAGAACTGCACAGCGGCTGTCAAAGCTGGTCCAGGTTGTGCGGGGCTTTGTGTGCGCAATCCGGCCTGGCCCTTAACACTGCGCCAGTCTCCAGACTGGGTTGGGGGGGGGTGCGCATGTGGGAACTTGTGTCCAGGAAATCACATGGCAGCCAATGCCAAAGGCTTTCTGGTTTGAGCAGCATCAAATCACCCGGGTGGGCAATAAAATGGTGGTGGGTCGCCGCGGTGGGCCACTGGGCTGTTCCTGCTATATTTATCTGCGCCTCCATAGGTCCGGGCAATCGCAGCTCCCATTGGCCGGGAAGGGCAACCCATGGCCAATAGGAACTGTGACTCCCCATCCTGTGGTGATGGAAGGAAATACGGCGGGGGCTAAGGGCTAGCCCTGGTAGACCAGATTCGGCCTGCGGGCCCTGACCTAGGCAGCGGATCAGTTCCGCAGGGGTTTCTGCGCAAGTGAGCAAACAGCCCCAGAAGTGGACCTGCAGCTGCAGGAGTGTCGCCCTCTCCCTCTCAAGGGTGCTGAAAGGGCCATCGTGCCTTTCCGAGTTCCTAAGCGGCTCTACGGGCTGGTCCCCTGTAGGAGCTGGAGGCTCCAGCCAGGAAAGCAGGTCGGTGCCGCATGGGCCACTTGGTGAAGCATGCGGCAAAGGTTTCCTCGAGGGCCCCTCCATAGGGACAGAGCTGGGGTGTGGGGGGGAGACAGTGTCAGTGCAGAACAACAAGAAGGCCAGAGACAAGCCAGCAGTTGCTTTGCCTTTATCATGCTATCCAGCCAGGCAGCCCAGTGCCAGGGCAGGCAGCAGCCGGAGACTCAATGGTGCTGCAGCAGCAAACCCCTTTTGTCCTTGCTGCGGACGTGGAAGGGGATCTGAGCGCCGTTGCCTGGCAGCGAGAACACAACAGGGGCTACACAAACGGCTGCACACGAAACCTTGAGTGTCTGGGTTTCTTGGAGTCAAGTTGGACTTTGCCTGCCCCTTGAAAGCAGCCGCTGGTTTAAAAGGGAAGAGAGACTTCCTGCGTCAGGAACAGCTGAGATTAGATAAGGGGAGGGAGGGGACACTGGGCTGCTGCAGCCAGTTCTGCGGCCTCCTGACTTTGTGAACTGAGGCCTCAGTTTCCTGCTCTGTGAAATGCCCCTGGTTCGCGCCTGCCTGCACTGCTCACGCATAGAGCTGGGAGGTGCAGAACTGCCAGCCCGGGGCGTCATCTTACTGCATTTCCAGCAGGCTCCTCGCTCCCCCATGCCTGCCCCCTACTAGGGATGTGAAAGGTTAACCAGTAAGCATCAGTCTTAATGAGTGATGCTGACCACTTCTAGTTAACCGGTGGGGGCTGGAGCAGTTTCCCACCTGCTGGGGGGTGGGGGGCGCTTCTCTGGATGTCCCAGCAATAGACAGTGGCACAGGGCACAAGGCTGCAGAAACTGCATCAGGTCCCCTCGCCTTTCCTCCTGTTTCTCAGCCCATAATGTTGCTTTGTAGCTTGTCAGCCTGAAAACAAATGATGGTTCAACCCCAGGCTGCACTTTCCCCCCTGCAGGCAGACACTCCAGCCCACAGCCCGTTTGCTTCCTGCGAACCAGTGCGGGTGTTTCTACACTTCGGCATGTTGAGCCCAGAATGAATAACCGGGCAGGCTGCTGCTCCAGACTCAACTCCCTGGCGGCGGCAGGGCCCCGTGGCAGACGCAGCAAGAGGCCACGAGCAACGTTTCAGCCACATGGGGCTGTTCTTAGAGGCCTCTGGGTACATACGCTCAGCACCGCGGCTTCTCTCGCAGGTGCAACCCTGAGTCCTGCAGGGAGCCTGGTCTTAACAGGAGCGGTCAGCGCTTCCCTCTGCCAAAGCTTGGCCTGTGGGAAAGGGCAGCTCTGGGCAGGGGGGCCTCACCCCCTCCCTATGTCTGTGCTCTGACACTGAGCCAGGCCCTGTCCCAGCCTGCAGCATGCTAGGGGTGGGGCTTTGTCAGTTACATCACAGCTGGCTGGCATCCCCGGCAGGGTGTTGGGCTCGAGCACTCCCACAGCTACCTGCAAAGGTAGATTAGACCTGGCTCAGAGCTACGCCATAGCCGTTGGTCAGCTGGGGCCGCCTTTTGCTCCCCCATCCATCGCAGACCGAGTGGTCCCGCAATGGCCTTAGATCATATGAAGACCATTTAAGGCAGTGATACAAACACCCCTTTTAAAAGGCACAAACAGTGATTTAGCAGCCGTCTTTCCACAGCTCCTCGCTACTTTTATTTCCTTCCACGGCCCAGGCACCTGCTCTGCAATAGAGAAACCTTAGTTTTTAGCAGGTCTCCTCGCCTCCCCTTTGCCTGGGCACTGGGAAAAGCACCATGGTAGGCACCTGAGTGAGAGGCAGGCCATACTGGGTCAGACCAAAGGTCCATCTAGCCCAGTATTCTGTCTGCCGACAGTGGCCAGCACCAGGTGCCCCAGAGGGGGTGGACCAAAGACAATGATCAAGTGATTTGTCTTGTGCCATCCTTCTCCAGCCTCTGACAAACAGAGGCCAGGGACACCATTTCTATCCCCTGGCTAATAGCCTTTTATGGACCTAACCTCCATGAAATTATCTAGCTTCTCTTTAAACTCTGTTATAGTCCTAGCCTTCATAGCCTCCTCTGGCAAGGAGTTCCACAGGTTGGCCAATAACATCTCTTGCATGTAAGACGGAGGGAGCTTCACCCTTTGCCAGGCCTCTACCAGAGAAGGGAGGTGGTGTGTGACCTGTCCTTGCTAGGCCATGCTGGGGGCACCTGTCCCTTCAGCACAAGGTTTGGAACATGCAGCTATTCTACAAACACCTTTCTGCGGCGGAGCACAGCCTGTGGGGCTGGCTTGTGAGAGACACACACCCTAATCAGGTGTGCAGCTGATTGTGCAATCACCCAGGAGGCAGTGGGTTTTATTAAGGTTTATTGAAGCAGCACCAGGCTGCTGTGTAAAGAAAAAAAAAAAACACTGTAGCAAACCAGCTCGCTGGCCCTTCACACCCCGTAAGACATTTTGTGCATTTGTCACTGGAGCAGCATCAGAACCCGGTGGCCAGCTGCTGCCAGTTAGAAACAGCTCCGCCCCTTCCAGCGGACAACAGGTCCATCAGAAATACTGGCTTGCTCACCCCGAGCTGTGAAACAACCACCTGCTGCTCACAGTGCTGCAGATGCTGGTGACAGCGACTGTTACTGACAGCACGGGGCAGCTGTAGGGAACACAAAGGGTTCCTCCCTTCTTGGACCAGTGCCTGAGCTGAAAAAAGTGACAATGTCTGCAAAGGAAACGGAACCCGTCCCTTGGAAAACCTGCCCTGCCACCTTCTCCAAAGAGCCGGCCAGCTAGCTATGCTGGAGCTTTGCCCCTTAAGCTCTCTTCAGAATCAATCCGAAGCCCTCCAAAAGTGTTGCGACTGTGCAACCCGGTGTCTGATACCCAAGGGGACCGTCCTGCCCTACACGCCTCCTGCGGATGGGAGGGCTGAGTTGCGAGTCCTCACAACGCCGACGTAAGGGGTGGTGCTCGCCTGCCCGGGTCCTCCGCGTGGACGCGTGGCGAAGTGAGAAGCGGGCACGGTGGCACCTGACACCTACAGCTCCTGGCGAAACCTGTAACGCAAAAGGGGCGGTGGTGAGAACGCTCGTCTCAAACCAGGACCAGCTGCGGCAAGGCCAGTATTTAACTTGTGCCAGGGCCGTGCCATAGCCCTTTGGGGCTTGCTGCATTAGTTATGAGCAGGGCTCGGCGACTGCGGCGAAAACCACTCGCCAGCCCCGCACTGCGCACGCGTGAACCACCGGTGAACGGGGCAACCGGCTGAAATCTATTTGCCATGGGCAAGTAGATAAGCAGCCCTGGTTATGAGCGGGAGGGGAAGGGGAAACACACACACACACACACACACACACACACACACACACACAGTTCTTGTTCTTGTCCAAGTGATTTTGTGTGTGAGCCTGCCTGCATCCACAAGGTATGTCCTCTCTGGTTTAGGGTTCTATGGGAAATACTTGGCTGTATCCAACAAACTCAGACGCAAGGACACAGCATCATGGGTAAAAGAAGTAGGATAAAAGGCCGAAAGATCTGTCCCACTTTGGCACTAACTCCACAGCGAGTGCCCAGAAAGGGTTAATTCCTCTTACCCTTAAAATGAATAGCTCGGGCAGGAGGAGGTAAGTGGCATGAATGGGGCCAGAGGATAATTAGAAGGAAGAGCCTCTGTGTTTATATGTAGACAGGGTTTGTCTTACAAATGCAATTACTAGCAGTCCGGGGTCTAACTTCCAGCTGTAATCTTGTTTTGGCACCAGCTCTCCCGTCCCCCCAGGGATGGCTATTTGAGTGCCACTGGCAGACTGACCCAGGCACCGCGAGGAGGAGTCTGTGCTAAAACAGTCTCATTTATGGCAACAAGCTCTATCTTTGGCCCCTGCGGTTAGCTGCAGCCAGCCTGGGAGTTGTTGCACAAGAATGTGCCGATCAGCTTGCCAGGGTGTCCCCTACTGGGGCCAACCAACGCCATCTGCAATCCCTGGAGGCTTAGTCTGGAGGAGTGCGGAGACATGGGATGGGCCACTCTCTTGCTCCAGTTACAGCCCTCCTCTCCGCTGCCCTCCAGCCTCCTTCCCTCATAGGGGCCTTCCACGCCACCTACAGACACGGGGGTTTGCCAGCGAGGCAGAAAACATCCGATTCCCCCTCTCCCGGTGAGCAGCCCTCGCTAGAGAAGCCAGGCCAGCATCTCCAGCCTGAAACGTCGACCCGTCTGCTCCTGCGCCCTGCCCGAGGAGGACTTACCTTTCCAGTCCCGGGGCGTGGCTCAGGCAGACAGGTATTTCCAAGTGCTGACAAAGGCGGTGGGGATGAGGGAGTAGGGCACGGTCGTGACGCTGCTCCAGGTGTCGGAGGAGGGGTCGTAGCAGTCCAAAGTCTTGCAGCGCTGAGTCCCGCAGTAGCCCCCCACCACGTACAGCCGGTTTCCCGAGGTGACCGCCTGACAGCTGATGCGTTTAGCAGTCACGTCCCCGAATTTGGACCACTGGTAGGTGTCGCTGTGGAAGCGGTATGCAGAGCTGGCCGAGAACTCCGTGTCGCCCCCGATCACGATCACGTGGCTGCCCACCACTGCCGCAGCCGTGTAGCGCCAGGGCTGGGGGCAGCTGGCAGGCACCGTCCAGCGGTTCTGGCCAGGGTCAAAGCATTGCACTTTGGGCAGCTTCTCCTGGCTCACGCTGGTGCCCCCAAAGACAAACAGCTTCATTTTGGCCCCCACCACGGCAGCGTTGCTCACGCCCTCCCGGAGAGGGGCCACCAGGGACCACTTGTCCATCTGGGGGTCGTAGTGTTCGACCTGCTTCAGCGAGACGGAGGGCGAAGCCGGGAAGGAGCCATTTACCGCCGTGTGGCCGCCGACTACGTAGAGACAATGGCCCAGCTCGGCAGAGCCGTGGCCAAAGCGGGCCACCAGCATGGGCGCGGCCTTCGCCCACTCATCGTGGAGAGTGTCGTAAACCCAGACATCTTTGGAGGCGCCGTTCTCGGAGCTCTTGCCCCCGGTGACGTACACTTTGCAGCCGAGCGCACAGGCGCTGCACTCCTTGCGAGGGCTGGGGATGTCGGTGCGCGGGATGATCTCGCTCGTCTGCCGGTCGACCATGTAGATTTTGTCACACACGAACGTCTGGCCCCCAAGCAGCAGCAGGGCCTGGCTGACCTTCCGAGGCTGGGCACAGAAACCCGACACCGGCCCGTCGTTCTGAAGGATCTTCATCTTGCAGCGCAGCGCGTCGGCCACGATCTCCCCTCCCAGCTTGTGGCTGGTCACTAGCTCTTCGGTGGCCACCTGGTTCCGCAGATAAGACTCTGGCAGGAGGGCCAGGCGGACCGAGCGCAACAGCTCGGGCAGGTCATCATGCCGCTGGGGCAAGTCGTACCGGATCCAGCCGATGACGGCTTCGTACACCAGGCTCTCGTCCTCCACCTCCAGCTCCTCGCTCTCCACCAGCTCCAGCAGCTTGTCTTTGGGCAACCGGAGGAAGTCCTCTGTCTGGTAGAGCGCCGCAAAGTTGGCCAGCGCCATCCTCCAGGACAGCTCCAGCAGCCTCTCGCAGCAGTGGGCGTAGGACAGCAGCAGCATGTTGAGGCAGTTGGCTGGGTGCAGGTTTTTCTCCAGGAAGTCAGCTGAAGCGTCACGGATATCCTGGAACTGCAGCATGTCCCCGGCCTCCAACAGGGACTCGGCGTTCTCCTCGTTGATCAGCACCCGGGCTGAGTAGATGTAGTCGAGCAGCAGCTCCAGCACCTCTGGGTGCAGGGAATCGTGGAAGTTGACCTCCGCATCCCTGCTCTCCTTCAGCCCCCCGTTGAACATGGCATCGAACACGGCCCGATGGCAGGGGAAGGCCTGGTTCCCCGCCCGCAGCACCACGTCGGTGAAGAGACGCCGCTTGCGCAGCAGGTTGAGCTGGGTCAGGAGGCTGTCGGCATGGCCCGGCTTGTGGAAGAGGTGGATGTTCATGGAGCCGGAGCTGGAGCGGGACTTGCGGTTCTCGTGGCGGCTGACGGACATGGCAGCGGGGCTAGTCTGAAAAGGAAAGAGCCGTGAGGCTGGGCTTCGCGAACAGAACCCCCTCTGGTTTTCTCTCCTGCCTTCCCCTAGCAGCACGCCAGTGGGCTTATAGGCCACCACCTCAGCACCCTATCTCCCCAGGTCCGCTCCGGGAAAGCCCACAGCTGGAGGAAGCTTTTGCGGCAGCACGGTGCCTGGGGCAAAGCTAGAAGGCTGGGGGAAGGGGGTTTAGTAAGGTGGTCCAAGAAGAAATGGAATTAACACAGAGGGGAAATTGTGCAGTTTGGCTGCAATGACATTTGTCTTGCAGTGGCAAACTCCCCCCAGGCTGGGGTCAGCATTCATTGTACCCGGGGCTGGCCCTGGAAGAAGGAAAGTTCTAGCTGCATCTTGTGCAGCTGGAAAAGGGCCCTGTGAGGTAAACTAGACACACTTCCGCAAAGCCTCTGCTTCCCGCCCCCTGCCCGCGGCAGCAGGCACCCTCCCCTTCCTGCATCTTTCTTTCCACCCTTCCCCAGAAGAACAGGACAAGCCCCCCACAAGTACCCCCAGGCCTCTCAGGAGCCATGGGGGGGAGGGGCTGTACTGATGTTAATGATTACGTTTTTAATGGGCAGAGGCTGTTCTGCTTCAATGGCAGAGTGATGGGAACCAGGCCCCTGGATCCTGCCTAAACAAAGGAGGAATTAATCAAAGCCACCACTCCCCATTAGCCCCCCCCCCCCCCCCGCCACCCCTGTCGTCGT